CTCAGTAGCTACTCAAATGTAACCTACTTTTCTTCATAGCCTAACTGATCTCACGACTTAACACCTATTTCCTAAAAACCGTCCCTTAAAGTAATCTCTTTACTCCGAAGAGATAAAAGAACTGTCTTTCGGTGCATTTTCATAGCATGCAACTCTTTATTATTTGCCCTTTGTCATCAGTACTTACATCTAAGTATTCTGCACCAACATAGTTTCGGTAGACCCGATGTGGTAATACTCAACAAGCAACACCATGATCATCCCCTCGTGACCTGATAAAGGGTGGTTACCGTCCTAAAAACAAAAAAGCCCACGAATTTCACCTAAATGTCTATAACTTCATCTTACGCTTGTGCATAGGTATATAACAAGTTAATACCTGGTCCAATATCCCCTAATCTTTCTATTTCGTAGTGATATCTTCAGCTTCAGACTGATTTTCATTACTGTCGTGCGCACCTTCATCTTCTTCCACCTAAGCTTACCTCAAAACAGTTGGTTCTGGATACTTCTTCAAGTAAGTTTTGTGGTTGGCACAAAGAACTCACCCAGATGTATCACGGTCGATCTACTCCTGCGTATTTTTGTGCTCCTGTTTCGAATTTCGCCTCTTGCCCGCTTTTGTTATTCACTTTGCATATTTACCTAACCAGTCCTGCATTCAAATGGAATCCTACAAATCGCATTCGTCGGTGGGAAATATTGCCATCAAAACGTTATGACGAACTCGCACACCTCAAGGTCGTGACTGTGATGCGGCCTCACCTCAAGAATATTGGATGATCCAAACGATGACTGGATAATCTTCAAATTCGAACTGAGCCTGCTTCAACACACCTCCCATATGCCATAAATCACAGCATCTAATGTACAGCATAACATTGTACATAATAGTCATCTCTCATTACCGAAGTGATCAAACCTGTAAACTGGTTTGTATTCATGTAACTTTTGTTGTATGAAATATATTATTATTATTATTATTATTATTATTATTATTATTAGACAGTTGGGATGATGCCATACCACAATGTCTCCTGGTTTATCGTTCATCAGTCCATTCTTCTGCTTGTTTTTCGTTATCTCTACTCTTGTTTGGACACGAACTCCACTTCCCCGTCAAACTTCAGAAACCACTGCCACCTTATGAGGGCCTTGACCACACCACCTGTCCGCCGATTTCTAACCCGACTGGCGACAGCCTGCCAGCTGGCGAGAGCGCAACAACAATCATCAAGCCATCAACGAAAAGACGTTTATGATCGCAGCGCTCGCGGATTAGTACACTCTCCTGGTGACCAGGTTTGGTTCCAACCTCCCGTCTCCCTGGCTGGTGCACGACACAAGTTCTACTCCCCTTGGCAGGGCCCGTACGAAATCATCCGCTGCCGTTCACCTAACACCTTCGTTATACGTCATTCAAAAAGACTGAACGAAGCAGCCATCAGCGTCCACCATAACCAAATGAAGCCATTCCAGCCCTCCACGCCAAAGCCATCAAACGACCAGTGTCGACCACCGCCAATGACCTATCACTACGAAGTACCGCTTGAGGGCGATATGGATACCCGATTCCAGGACCAGGCACTGAGAACGGTTCCTACAAAGTAGGTGGGCAATATAACGTATTCGAAACCTTACCGATAACACTGGTCATGTTCGCTTTCTTGCTCCTTCAGGATACGTAAACTTAACATTGACGAAGAGGCATAAAAACTCTATCTGCATTGGACGTTGTGTAGACCCTCTGAGTTCAAGTAGTGTTCCTAATAAAGACGATAATGCCTGTGTCTGCTGTGAGTCTAAGTGTCTGCTACGCCTTAGGGTCATTACAATATTTGTTTTACACACTCGACTGCCACATCATTTCAGGGTTTTTTTGAATCATCCTATGTTGAGTAAGGGGGTGTTACTTAAGCTATCCCCTGACCTGTTATGGGTTATCGCGCGGATTCTGAAAATGCGTATTTTCTGTTTTCTGGAGGTATTTTTCACCAGTTTCTAAACTACGAAACGCAGTTAATCACTTGGCGCGCTCCTTGAGTAGTGACGTGTTTCGCTCGTCTCTCAGCTTTTGGATTTTTCCACAATGAAAAACTCCCACTTTCAATACTCAATCTAAAAACATCGAACGTTTGCAGCACTTCTGTCCATCCACGCACCTCACCCCTGCGCATTCGTCAGCTCACTCCTCAACAGTTGAAAATTGGCATTATTATTCCTTTGAACCAACCGGTCTACCTCCTGTCAGTGGTTCTTGGGCGTTTCAGCTGCCAAACTGCCTTAGCTCTCGGTTCTCCTCGGAGGTCATTCCCCAGGAAATATCTTCCCTGGTTATACATACGCATCTGGAGCTTACGGTTAAACTCGTTGGTCAAGAGCAGAGGATCAAGTGACAAGTGTCTGAAGGTGAGCCAACATAAATTATCTTCCCTTTTCTATTCTGTCCTTTTCCTGCATTCAGTCTTCAACCCTCTTATTGTTGTTAACTACTTGTTTTCCCAAGAAGTTTATATCATAGCGACATGTCTGCCCAAAACGCTAGGTCTGAAGCTTTGACACGGATAACGCGGTCGTGCACAACAACGGCCAGTAACACCCTAAACAACACACTAGTCTGTACTAGAAGACAAACAGAGGTAGGGCAGAACATCGAACTTCTGAAGAAGTGGCCAACCCATGTTTCTAGAATTCCAGTAGCCATCAGACAGGTGACACAGAGTAGCACTAGCCCGTCACAAACTAGTCCTATCTTGAGCAAGGATCATACCATGCCTGAACATAGAAGACGACGTAAAAGGCTTCAGAACAAGGCAGCCACAAGCAGTTCGCCACAATCCGTAGCACCTTATTCATGGAAGGAAGGCTGTATTACGACACCCGATGGCTGCAGTGTTTGCACCAAAGTTGTTTCGGTAGTCGATGAGGCATTTGCATGCAACCTGTGTCAACGATGGGTGCATTGCCACTGCGATACCAAAGTCCCCCGACAATACTATAAGCTGATGAAGAGACAACCATGCAAGTGGTTCTGGTACATCTGTCCAGAGTGCAGGAAAATGCCCGCACTCCGCACAGAAAGCCTGAAGGAGATGCTCTCCGCCACGCAAAAGCTACCAGCATCCTCGAATAAGTAGGGTTAACACCAAAGGATAACACAGAGAGACCTGGAAACAGACCTAGAGCTCCAGCTGTGGGCACGCCATCTCGCGTGGGGACCATATTAGGTCAAGTCTCCATACCCCACCCGGCCCCAGGGGACGTCAAGCGCATGGCCAAAGACATCGACCGCCGAAGCCTCTACGAAACCCATTCCGAACACCCTACACACCGTGACTGAGAAACAACCAGTGGAATTACTCAAACCCATTGGGAAGTCGGGCGTGCCACCCACAACGAACCCAGGTCACAGGAGGACCAACTCGATCATTTTGTTCAACGTCGATGTATCGACAGACTCATTGTTGGTCGAGAGGGAACAATTTGACAGCCGAATGTGGACCGACTACTGTCAGATGCTGGGACTCCCTCCCCTCCCTGCAACTTTGTGTCGCCTTTCTCGAGGAAGCCATGCACCCCGAGATAAGCCCCCCCTTTACGTGTGTCCCTAAATACCGCCAAAGAGGCTGAAGACACACTCCTCCTCTCACGACAACCGGACGTTGTTAATGCCTGTAAAATTCGGGCCAGGCCTGACAAGCCATGGTCAGTAAGAGAGGAGGAGAGAAAGTCAGCGGTTGGAAATCCCAACAGAAACAACACTATAGTTGTACATGGGATTCCAGAATTGCCAAGTGACAGCTCGGTCAAAGATCGGTACTTTCACGACGTCCAACAATGGCAATGGCTCTCAACCAAAGTTGGTCTCAACAGTATACCGGCCAACAGCGTCAGTAGACTGCCAAGGCCAGCGCACCTGAAGACCATACCCAATCCCAGACTACTTGCCGTCCAGTTCGACTCATATGCCTCCCTCACAGACGTTCTGCACGCATGGTATAATGCGAAAGATCGCATGGGTGGCTCAATACGTATATGTGAAAGTAAGCCTAGACCCACAAGGCAAGAGGAGAGACGGCAACCACCAAGACCTCTGGAGTCAGTGGTCGTCACACAGGCGCTGACCAGTGAGTCAGATACATCAAGTAAAGAAGCCACCACTGCTACAGCCCCCACCCAAGTTAAGAACAAAACACAAGAAAGGGAAAAGTGCCAGTCCCATGGGGACTGGAGACGCTAGACCCAACCACGTAAGCGCTCATCCCATGAAAATACACAACCAGACCTCCCCTCTCACCAGGCACACTCTAGTATGTATGTACAGCAGCGTTAGGGGACTAAGAGGGAAGGTGGCAGAAATGAGGACGCTGATTGAACATCAGCACTCCGACATCATATTCATCACCGAATCCTGGCTCTCATCGGACATCTCCGATGAAGAGATGCGTGTTGATGGCATGGAACTCTTCCGCAGGGACAGGGAACATAGAGCAGGAGGGGGAGTGGCTATCTACGTAAACTCCTGGTTAAAGGCAAGGATGGTTAGCGATACGGCCTTAACCAAGGTCCCAGAGTCTCTATGGTGCTACTTCACTCTCTTCTTTATTCTCTCTTCATTCCTTTACCACTACCTTACTATTCTCTTCCAGGTACCTACACAGACAGGAGTCATGGCAGTTCTCTAAACTTCCCAGCAACCCGTAGCTCCCTAATCACTCTACAAATTACAACCTACTAACCCACAAAACATCCACCTCACCGAAGCTAAAGGCAAGAAAGCAGAGGGGATTTCCTCGTCCACTGCAGGAGTAAACCGAACAACTGGAACCAAGCCCTAAGAACTAGACGCGAGAGATCAAAAAATACCAGTTTTCTACAATCGCACTATCAATATTGGATATTGGAAGCCCTAAGAACTAAACATGAGAGAACAAAGACTACCAGTTTTCAACGCTCGCACTATCAATATTGGATATTGGATATTGGATCAATATTGGATATTTGAAATCACCCTTTTTGAAATGAAGGTCGTTTTGATGTTAAGACTGTGTTCACAACTTGGGAAAACTTACTCTTGTTGCTTGGTCCACGGGAATTATTATCATACAAGAACTTTTCCACACAATGTATTTACTGTTAGAGGTAACACATTGTCTTCATCCTGTAGTGACAATGTAACTTACAATGGCTTGTAATCAGCTAAGACTTTCAGGGGCGTCTCAAAATCTTCACCATCCCAAACTTACTAACTGTTTCTCGTATTGCACTTACTCCTCTCATTGTCAGTAATGTTGTTGGTGGTGATCTCAGTGCGGCCTTTGGTCTCACCATCGTAGCGGGACTAACTGATGTGGTGAGTTCTACTGGTAATAGTAATGGAATTATTTTTAAGCTAGATGGATTTATATCCCGGAATGTACCAAATCAGAAGTCAAATGTTGGAAGTTTCTTGGATCCTCTAGCGGATAAAATCCTTGTGACAGCTTTGGTCCTATCTTTAACATCTATGGACTTATTTCCAAGTAAAGATGTGCTTTCGCTTAGATTTCACTAGTTAGTCTTGCCTGTCTTTTCATTCTCCGTGATGTTGGGTTGGTGACTGTAGTTACTGCATCACTGTTGCGACACTATAGCGCAGTAAGTGATGAGGCTTTATTAAATTCTTCAAGCATAATTCAAAGACACTTGTACAGGAGGTGGAAATAAAAGCATCTAACGTCAGTAAGGTACGTTTACTTTTGCATAGGTTATTAAATAATACAGTATGTGTATTAGGCGGTATTCTGTCCGTTTTTATAGGGAAGTACGATTGTTCGCAGCTAAACAGCTTTTACTTGCATCTGCAAAGTATGCTGTGTATAACATGAGTTGCCACTTTTTAAGCACCACGACTTGGTGGTTCCTATATCCTCTCGGTCGCCTACTGTGTGATCTTTCGAATTCACGCCCACAATGGTTGTGATTAACAAGTATATACTCCTATTCGTTTACTGCTTCCTCTTATTTCGCCTATTCCTTGTTCGTCACAATATTTAGAGCTTCTTGTATCACTTCGACAGTAGTGTTTCTTAATTGGAGCCGAGCATTCATCCTGTATATGCACACACTCATATTCAACGTTGTGGGACTATGGTTTATTGGCGTAAGCAGTTGACTTCTAACCAGTAGGTCATGGGTTTTGAGACTACCAAAGTTCGGCCAGCCAGGTAGTATCTTTAGCCTCTATACAACGGACAGCCCGTTGTCTGCTGCATGAATATGCACAAGGTTGCTGAGAGCATTTCGATTCAAGTCGATTTAAGGTTAGGATAAAACAAAGTACCATAAGTATGTTAGTTTTGTGATGCTAATGCGATATTTATGGATAAGGGTTTCCTAAGGTTGTAGGAAGAGGAATTGTCCGATAATTTAGTGCATGCCAGGAGACTAAATGAATCTATTATCCAGAATAAGTCTATTGATCAGACTCACTACGTCGTATTGTCATCCACGCAAGTACTAATGATTAACAGTTTCCTGTTGCATCAACGAAAGATAAGTTCGTTTTTAGTTTGCGTTAGTTAGGAGTGTTGACTAAATGTCTTTTATTTCTAATACCCCTTACAAACAGAAGGTTAGGTTTTTTTTATCTAGTCTCCATCGTGAGTTGAGATTTCAAGGTTGTTTGGTAGGGCATCTCATTGCTACACGGTAAATGTGCATCTCATTATTTCCACAATTCAGGCAACTCGGTGATAACTAATTAAATTTTTCGTATCCTTACCAAAAATTCGTTTGTCACCAACCAAATAGGAATAATAGAGCTTCTCAGACAAGTGAAATCGGCTTATTTAACCATTTTGCTGGTCATTGTCTAAACACGTGGGTACAGTCCAATCCTAAAGCTAGAACTGGTTTTTTCAGTATAAAGGGTTAGTCTGTTAAAATTTGTGGAGGACCCCAATTAGTTAGCATATCCATACAACAGTATTATGTCATGTGCGCAGCTTATAAAGATTGTAGTAATGTAAAATATCGATGAATTCGGATGAATTTAGCATATCAATTGCAGTGAACATTAGTAAAAATGGACCTAGTTGATTCTGGGTTCTGCTTGATGTAACCAACTCAGGCGATTGCTGTCCGTAAGGTTTTATATAACCATCATTGCTAAAGTCTCTTCTGTTCAACATTGTCACTAAACGTCTCGATCAACGCAGTTAAATCTCATTTTCAAGTCAGAAAATAAGTCAGATAGCTGGTACTCTTTGGTTTCTACTTATTTGAGCACCTAGAGTATGTTGAAAATATGTCTGATACATTGACAATTAGACTTGTTAGCTACCTCATTCGCTAGTAATTGGTATTCCTTAGCTTCAAGTAAGCGTAGATTGACTACAAATCTTACAGTCTTCAAAACTGTTGGTTGAGATAATTCTTCTGGTCATCATATGTTGATTTTAATCTCCGTAAATGACATTGTTTGGTCGAGGGTTGACTGAGCTTACTTTCGAAATTTCTTTAAACGGGCATAGTTTCATAGCCTTTTCTGGCTGTGTTCATTGCCTTCACGTAGTAGAAAATCTCTTCAGACGAGTGAAAGGATGCTGAATAATTAATCTATGCAGTCGAAAAACCGAAACTTCAAGCTAACAATGTGCACTGACGCTGGAGTGTTTAAGAAGAAAGTTACTTATGAATTTTCCTTGATCACTGAAACCTATCTAAATGCAGATCCTGACATTGATATACTACCGTAAGGATTAAACTTCATGTCAAAAGTTCCAGAAGTGGTTCCATGAGGTTAATATCCATTTCGGTCTGCTTGTTTAAATGGTTTCTCGGCCATCACACATAGTGATAAGAGACTACTATAAAGGTTATAAATCTCATACCTGACTCACTACTGATGAAGACTGCATTTCAAAATGCACACTCAGTTATTCATTTTATTGTTGGTATATTTGTATGTAGATTGAATAGCTTTATTCTAATTGTTTTGTTATGAACGGTTATTGTTTGAATTCTTAATCCTCCTCTGTCATCTTGAGTGCCTATGTAGTTGATTTCACACAGTTGCCGTGCAGTATGATATCTAACTGATAGTTTCGCTGACACCTAATTTCTCTATTTAAGCCTTCTAAATAATTTTTAGCAGTTATGTAGCAGCAAACAGACGCAAACCTGAGCGGATTGGTTGCTGACGAAATCTCAGCTTAGACACAGAAGGCCCAATTGGCATTTTCAACTTGCGTCACATGTGGCGCTGACTGGTGAGATATCCGACTATCTGTCAGAGGACGAGTATACTACGCTGCAGTCTATTTTGTGCTTTTGTACGGCTATGAAACGTGACTGTTAAAAGCTGAAGACAAAGCGATTATGGGGCTTTGATCACAGGTGTCTTATTAGTATTGCTCGCGTTTTGTGGAACCACCGTGTGAGAAATATTAAGGTCAGACGAAGAGTACTAGACAAAATGAGAAAGATGATTGATAAGGTTGTGAACTTTGAGTGACTAAGATGACTTGGAAATGTACTGTGCATGCCGATACACCGCCTTCCTCAACGTGCCATACTGGGGGAAGTTGGGTTAAGTTGGGAGGAAGTTCAGGGTGACCAGACTGAGACGTTGCACGAGTCCATGAAGTCTCTTACTGTCTGTGTGAACCGTGTAGGGAGATGTAGACTGCCTGGTTGGAGTCTCCAAGATGAAAGGAATCAGTGGTTAAGGACTCTTGGTGTCATGACGGGAAAACGATCACAATGGTGCAGATGTATTCACTCCCTGACATTTTCTAAAAATTGAATATTTTCACTAACCATTATCTTCAGATTGTTTATTCTGTCACACAGCTCTGTGTACTTTGATGTCGCTCTTTCTCTCTCCATTTGTTCTTTTTTCACTACTGTGAAATGTGACAACTTGAGCCGATGCACGTATGTACAAGGTTCTACGTTGATTTTGTCAGTCTGTCGGTTATCTAGCATTATAACCTCTGTTTTCATCGTTACTGTCCTAGTTTGATTAGAACCATCAGATCAACTTGTTCAATCTACATTTAAGTAATATCCTCTCATCTATTCTGCTCGGACCTAGTTAGGCTGACTGTTTATAAATTTAATAACACACGAAACTGGTGAAACCTACAGCTTTTTACCAGCTTTCTTTTGAAGGTCATCTATGTTTACTAACACTGTTTTAACACCATACTGGATTATGTTACCAAGCTACTTCAAGATTAGTAGTACTATCAGCTTAAAATACACCCTTAGTATTATCCACCTTCAAGTTAAGCTTGGAAATATCTTTCGTTGGGATTTTTCTACACATACTAAATGGCTGACACCTGCCTGCTGAAATCAGTGTATGTTTGAAGTTCAAGTGTGTGCTTCAAAGAAAGTTATTATCTATCTTGCTTATTGGTAGGTAACAACAGTTGTGTTTATGCGTTTATGCCAATTTGAATGAGGCCATTCAGTATCCTTTTGAGGAAGAAGATTGTTTTATAGTTTCTAGACAGACAGGACAGAATTAACGTTGAACCTCACACTAAGTACATCACCTCAAGTTACCACCCTTCACAGAATTATACGAAGATATCGAAGAGTACCACTGTGACTGATTTCAAGATATATCAGCACTGTTCCCATCGTTTCGGGGACCGCAATAAGATATTCTACACCCCACACGTCTGAAGCTAACAGTGCGAGACTTCAACTGGTGCCATGTTTTGATCTAGCCACTCTGAATCATCTTCCAATCTGATCCAAATTTCCCTAGCATGTTACGTCTAGGTAGTTGGTGATGGCTCGGCATGCGCAGTACATGTCCAAGCCATTCCCAGTTTCACCAACCGATTTGCCTGGCTTCTAAGACAAGTGTTGTTAGGTCCCCTCATCAACTTAGATTGAATGTATATTTTGCCTAACAAGTACATTATGAGAATGCAGTATGAATGCTAGGTCTAATCCTTATAGGATGTATCAAGTATAGTAAATCCATGATTAATTGTCTGTTTGTTCAAGTTGTAGGTGTCTACTCTGTGTAGATTCAATGACTATTTGGTTGATTTTAGGAAAAATAAACTAAAATTCAATTTCGGGTTTTGTGGGGATTTATTTATCGATTTTAAGCTGGCATTTATAATGGACTAACATCCGTTGGAAAAACATTGGACGGCTGTTTCACATTGATGGGTGACTTAACAGTGAGCATCCATGCCCCCCCCTCGGGGACCGAACCCAGAAGCTTCAGGTTCCTCTTCAAGCCCGTTACCATTGAACCACTCTGTTGGTGTTCAACGTTCCACATTTACCGACCTCAGTCAGTTCATGGTATAGCGTGACCTCAATCCGTTGTTATCGTTGTCTTCTGCACGACTTGGTTTGCTTGCTTGCTTCGAGATAAGATTTCTGAAGTTCTAATTGAAGGGTTGTGACTGGTGGGGCAAACCAAGTCGTACATGATGGCATTGGATTTAGGTCGCACTATACTGGAAACTGGCCGAAGTAGAAAAATTGGAACATTGGTTTCCCATTTAGTAGCTTGCTGGCTGTTGACCCTGAGGGTCCTCTGTTCAAGCCCTGGTGGGTGGGGTCATAGATGCTCACTTCTGAGGACCTCCAAACTGAGACAAAACAGCTGTCCGTTGCTCTGGGGTTCTCAGTGGTTCTATAGTTGATGTCAATCCGTGATAAATAGGCTGTAGACGCAAGTCCTTCGACTCTTACGAAAGATGAGAAATGCGTTTCAAAACTGAAATTATGCAAATTACCAGGACCCAACGGTTTTCAAGGATGGAGATAGGAAATTACTAATTTAACTAACTAGTGTATTGTGACGAGAGTTTGTCGCGTCAAACTAGTCTAAATCGCTGTTTATTTCAGTATATAAGAGGACAGTCTGTCTGTGATAGCCTTATGGGAATTAGTTTGACTAAGATCATGTCTGGGATACTAAATTCCATAGTCATGCGACACCTAGCTAGAGCTTAAGAACAATAATTAGCACTCTATTTTGTCGATCGATATGCTTTGGGGGTGTATAAATCTAAAGGGAGGATGCAAGCGACATCGCTTCGTTAGGCCAAGACACGGGAAGAACACTATGTGAGCAATATCAATTTTAAACGAAGGGTACTGGGCAAGGAAGGTAAGTCAGTCCATAAGGTTATGAACCCCCATCGACTGAAGTGGCTTTTACTTGTGGTGCACACGCTTAGCCACCATCAGCTACTTCGATGTACAATGCTAGCGGAAGTTGGATTAGGTTGGAAAAAGGCTCAGGTTGGCCAGGCGAAGACGTGGTACCAGTCAATGAAGTCTGACTACTATTGGTCTGAGCTGTGTAGGAGGTGCAAGTGGAGGGTCACTGAGACGATAGGAATCAGTAGTTGAGAACATTTGGTGTGATATGACTGAAAATCGGTGACAATGGTGCAGATGTATTCAATCTGACCTCTTCTAAAGATTGGACATTCTCAGTGACCATCATTTTTAAAATCCTCTTTCCTCACATGCCCTTCCTCTATTTTTATATCAGTCTTTTTCTATCCACTTGTTCTTTGCATACCACTGTCTGTTATGACAACTTGATCCGATGCACTTGTATGCGAGGTTATATATTGATCTTTTCTGTCTATCTGACAGAACGGTTAGTCTTTTGAACTCTTAATGAGAATCTCAGTGTCTCACGTGGGTTTGGCATCTATAAAATATAAGATTCTGCACCAACTACTAGTTCTAGGAGAGGGAGTAAAGTTATGGATTGGATGGACCAACTCACTTACTTGGGAGTTGCATCATCTCTGACAGGTTAGTTGTTGACAAAATGTCAGCTATTGTACTAAGCGTCCTTGTGCCATTTGATAAGGTACGCCACTTATCGTACCAGCAAAGCACGCGTGCATACACAAGAGTATGACTGTGACACATGACTATTGGAAGTTGGAAGGGTTACCTGTTTACGACCACAGGTATCTTCGTATCATAATGCGAGTATGGTAGAATCACCGTGTGAGTAATGATGACGTTATGCCTAGGGTGCTGGGCAAAGAAGACAAGTCTGTGAATGGGTTTGTTAACTTCATCGATTGAGGTGGCTTGGATGTATGTCGGATGCTGTACCGCCCCTACATCGATCTGTAATGTTAATCGAAGTGGGATTAGGTTTGGAGATCAAGATATTGCACTAATTCATGAGGTCTCCAACTGTTGGTTTGTACCGTATTGGTATATGTCGACTATTTGATTAATATCCCTGGAAGAATAGCAACTAATGGTTAGAAACTTTTTGTTGTTATATGGCTCGAAGTCACTCTCAGCGGCGCAAATGTATGTGCTTCTTGTCGTCTGCAAAGTGTTGAATATTTTCATTATGTCTCATCTCTTCATGTTTTCTTCTCTTCTACCTTTTTCTACTTGAATTTCATTATTTTCCTTCCAGCTTCTCTTTCACTGTAAAGTGTAGCAACTTGAACTAATGACACTATGTACTTGGTTCCACGTTTTTGATCTGCTTGCCGGGTCCAGGACTTTTTAACATCTAACACTAAAATTCAGTGCAACATTTGGCTTTATTATCACATTGTCATCTTGATCGATAGACTGGTCAGCGCTAAGCAATTAGGATTTGACTGCTACGTCGTTTGGTATTCAGCTAGTGACTTGTTCACATTCTCCAGTCCTCCAGGCGATCCATCCTTGTCTAATTAGCTTATTAATAGAGTTCCTGACATGGTTTTGGCATCTCAAGAGAATTAAAGTTTCCTCAAGATTGTAGATAGACTTTCCTGATGAGCATCTATGAGTACTGCACCACGGTGAAGCAGGAGTTCTTACCGATGGGCTTCTAGGTTGTACTTTTAATATTGTGTTACTACCGGTTGTTCACTGGTCAGTATATTGTCGCTTTGCGTCTACACAAATTCCAATCTCTCCCCTCTGCGCCACGTCCAATGAAAGTTGATGGTTATTTTTGTGAACCCAAGTTGATTTCTCGCAGTAGAACGATATCTATAAGGCCTAGTCATAGCTAATTTCAGGGAAAAGAATAATTTTGCTATCTTGACATTCGATTTCATAAACTTTCTCCAAGTTGCTTGCTAGACAAACGTAGATGTTTTAAACTTTGCTGTCAAATGGAATCGAATCGAAGAAATCGTAATCCACTCAGCAACCTTATGTACGTACATTCGTACATTAGTAGACGACAGTAAGCCACTTCTGTTATTGTGTAACGTTTAATGATACCACCAATGGGCTGCCCAAATCACCTCAGTAAGTTGTGCGGTATTTGAACCCCGTGACCAATTGGTTGAAAGTTAACTTCCTAAACCAAAATAAGGCACAACTTTGCTGTCAGTGTTCATTAAAGTTTTAAGTGTATTCCCCACACAGCATTATCTTTCCTTTTCAATGTTGAATTTCGCCTAATTTTCAAGTGTTGAACAAATTATTTCTAATATCATGTAAACTTTTTTACTATGATAGTGTCACTTTAATTCTTTGTTTCATTGTTTCAACTAGCTGAACACACTTTGCCAATTATCTAGTGTTATACTAAGTATGACATATCCTTTGTATGGATTCCCTAATTATGAATACTTAGAGGTTGTTTGGTAAGTTTTAAAATAGTTTTTTATTATGCTTAAATCAAGCATTTCTAAATTTATTTTTCGATTCAAAACTACTGCAAAAATAAAAGTTTTATGCTTAAATTTTATTAATTTATCTGGTGGGAAATTTGAACGATCTTCTTCGTGCCTTTTTTCCACTCATGTGTATCACTCGATTTTTCTGCTTTCAAGGACGCTGCTCTCCTATTGGTTAACCTCCCAGTTTTGATGTACCCTTTTGTCTGTTCAACCCAAGAGCGCATACACTATATATAAACGCAAGAATTGTGTCCGTGGCCTTATTAGCTTCATACTTTATTAGAACACAACTATGGTACAGCAATGGCACCTAGAAATGTGCCTCACAAAATAGTATAACAACAATGTGAAGACATAAAGCGAAGGGAATTGGATAAGTAATAAAGAAAAGCAATAAGGATAGCGTGCTTAGAGGCGCAGTCCACTATGATAGATTCAAAACAAAGCATTCATTACTTTTCAGCAGCAAAAGATAGAAGTAAGCTACAATATATACGCCACTGCTTTCCATTCTCAGCCATATCTGGTAACACCTCAAGCTGCTGAGTTGTGTGATCTCTCGGACCCCAGTTAGTCGTGATGAACTAACTATCCTTCATCCCACGGCGCAACGTCATACACTCACCACCCCTTCGCCTCTTTCATCCAGTCCCAGGGTTAGCAAACAATAAACAGTATGGAAACCTTCGGGACGATATGCGTGAATAATATCTAATCTCTCTAACCCAGTGTTTCCACATGACTTCACTTATTGAGTGACGATTTCCATCATATCCAAATACACGCTTTCGTAACTCAGAATTACTTACACGGTGTTGCCACTGGATACAAGCAGTCTTATGGAGACAACGATGATCGAACGCACGGAGTCATGGGGTACACTCAGCTCGGAGATGCCAGGTTTCACAGGTGTACAGCAGAACTGCTCTCACCGAAGCGTTGTAAACCCGATGTAACATCGTGACGGTGCCAAAGGTGGTTCAAATGGGCGTATACCACTCTGAGTTCCGACATGGTGTTGGAGATTTCATCATTCACACTAACACTAGCATTCGCACAACTACCCAGATACTTCCAACGGTTCACCACCAAGGGTGAGCGCCGGCACAGACTCCTAATCTTGCAAAAGCATTTCGCACTTCAATGGTGCAAAGCACGTACCATGGTTACGGATACTAATCACCAACTGATTAAGTGCGACGAGCAGCTTGTGTTGTCGCATAGTAAGATGATATCGTCCACATATTCAAGGTTGAATAGCCGTTCTCCGGGTAGTAGATCTACACCACCATTGCTCACCTCCTTCAGAGCTGTTTTAAGAATGTCACCGATGGCAAAGTTAAAGAGGAATGGGAAAATCGGGAGATCCTACCTAACCCCACTGGTGGTTTAGAACAATTGAGACAGGTGGTTGTATGCCCTCACTCTACCTGAGGTGTTATTATATGCGGATTTCAAGATGTTAAGGAATTTCTCAGGGATGCACCTCTCCAATTGACAGTTACAGAGTACAACTGTGTCCAAAGAATCGAAGGAAGCCCTAATATCAGGAAGACAACGGTTGTTGGTCTGCAATACGTGTGGCGATGTTCAAGCATCTGGCTTACGGTAAACGCATGATCATTGCATACACGACCTGAACGAAACCGCGCCTGCTCATCGCGAATTATTTCCTCGTATGTTTTACAGTCTTAGAGGTAATGTTAGCAGACAGTATTTCCGACGCGACTGGTAACAGACTAATACCCCGATGATTGTCACATACATTACTTAGACTCTTTTTGAGGATGGACACAAGGATGGGTTCGCTTCATAGTGATGTAACTGTATTAGTCTGCTATGCCTCCTCAAACAGTGTAGTCAGTTTCCTGACTAGAGTCGTCCCTCCATCCTTAAAAAGAGTCGAGGGGTAAGTTATCTGGACCAGGTGCCTTGCGGCATTCCGTATAGACCTCCACTTGCTTAGGTGAGTCAATGTTAACTGACAATGGAGTACGATACAATGAAACCGAGGATGCCGAGGCAGTGGGCCAGCTAAACTGCTTTACAAAGTGCTCCACTCAGTGTTTCGTTACTCTTTAAAATTTGTTTGTTGGCGTACCGTCTACCTCACAGACCATCTCATTGAGACCAGGTTTCTTGCTGCCAGTGGCTCAGATGAGCTGGGACAGTTTCTAACTGTTGCTAGATACAGCTGCTGCCTTCATTTTACTCGCGCGTTGTAACCACCAAGCTTCACAATCCCTGCGTAAGCGTCGTGTGATCTTTCACGTAAGAGACTTACGCGAACCCTTGTACTTCTTATCCGCCGAAATAGTCCAATTGGCATCAAGAAGTTGTAGTGAACTCACAGAGACCGAGTGTTTATTAGTGGGACGTTCTTCCAAGTCACAAACGGCTTTGCTTACCATTTTCATGGCGTCTTGCACTTTCTGGAGGACCGGTAGCTAGCCTTAAATCTGACCACAGTGTTAGGTGCAACTGATTTGCCTCGACTGTTTAGGAGGACGATTGTTATGATCATCAAACGGTAAGACGAACTTAGCACAGTCAAATTCGGAGTAAACTTTTTTCAGTTCATCCAATATTGTCTTCTTGTATCAGCTGTTGAGCTACTTGTCAAGTATCGTATCGATCACCTAGTAGCTAGATTACTTGTTCCCAATGAATCATATCTAAGAATCTCAACGGAGTTTCTAACCATACTAGTTTCAAGGTTTCGTTGAAGTAAAAAGTGTGACAGAGTTTAAGGTTGTTCATAACCTTGTCTTTGAGATTAACTTTCCAACATAACCGGGGCATTTGGCCAAAATGTATGACACATCTGGGTGGTATAACTAAAAGATCGGGCAACCAGTTGTGCACATATATATATGCGTAAATTGTAGGGAAAATTTATGGTCGATCACAGGATACCATGGAGCCGAGAGCAAGGCGAGGTTATTGTATTGCTCAGGGTTTTCATAAACTCTTCAGTATCCAAGTTGCACGATATTCCTCTATGTAGGTAGTATGACTTCTTCGAGTATTAGATCTATTGTTTTCCGGTCTGATAGTCTTTGATCAGTCTTTTTTACACTCAAGCTGCTAAATATGAAATAATGAGGGTTTCAACGATTGTAGAATGTTACAATACAGTAATATCTAGACCAAATGAGTTCACTGTATTGGCAAAGTTATATTACCCTTGTAGATCCTATAACCAATACTTAATGAATGATAAACCATTTATGAAGAAGACATTCAAAAGACCTGTGAATAGTTTAAATATAACACAAGCGGTCATATCAGTAATATTTCAGTCACTGCACCGGAATCCTAAAAAGTGATCACCAACATAAGTATTGTTAAACTTGTAATTCGTCGTTGTTATACTGCATCGAATTTTTCGACCTCTGTTAACAGATGAGTTCCTATGTGGATGTCTCGATATTGCTTGATTATTCATTGTCTTGTAAATTTACTTCGTGGTGGCTAGCGGTCCCAGAATCGAGGATCCTCCTTTCTTCTTATTTTTTAGACTTATTCGTCAGCTGGGTGGTATCTGCACCATAGTGAGTGATGCTGTTTCCTTTGTGTAGACGTGAACCTCTTACCCATTGCTTCAATCGCCAAAGTGTTATCCACTAGGTCACTAAGGTACGGCAGCCATCTCCTGTGCAAATAGAACAGAATGCGCTTCCTGGGTCTCTCTGTTTAAGAAATCTCCAATGGTAGTCGAAGGTAATGGTTAACAAAGATACTTTTCTATAGAGTAAAAATTCAGATGGAACATACCTTATATCAGCTCAAGAAGTAACGAAGCACTAAGATGTAAGACGGCGAGAGAAAGAGAAAAATCACCTACTCTTAATCTACCTACATTGGTCAAACCAACAGTCATGCACTTCATGCAACGATGTCATGTTTTAATATGACCATCCCGAGCCCTCTTCCAGCCTGAACATACTTCCGCCAACATTTTCTGATCAGGCAGACGGTGAATACGCATACGTAACACATCAACTGTCTTAACTCTCCCGCCTAAAACTCAACACTTGACTTCTGTGTTACTCACCTGGTGACACTTTTTTTTTTGACCTACACTCCGAAGGCAACGCTGGTTGAACACCTGAAGCCTTCTCATATCTTCCACTTTCAATGGCCATGTTTCACAGTCATACAGTAGAACAGAGCGGACTATACATCACAGTACACTCGAACGTTAACAGACAATCGGATATCACAGCGGCGACACAAATGGCGTAAGTTGGTGAAAACCAATTGAGCCTTTTGTATCCGCATAGACATTTCGTCGCCTAACGACCAGCACACTAGGGCTGATCTGACTTTCCAGGTGAGTGAAGTGTTTAACGCGCCCAATCACTTCACTCTGTATTGTTAGTGAACAATATCAATGACAAGTTTTACTGTGCTTAGATGTCTGCTCGACATTAGACATTGCACACACAAAAGGCAAACGAGTTATTTGAAATTACTTACATTATCACCTTTAATCTTTTACATGCACCAGAACCTACTGAAATTTATTTGAGTAAGCCAGACTTATGTGTTATAATTCCTATTTTACTTTGTTTAGGTATGTAAAAATGACCCCCACCGACTGCCCTATCCATTCTACAGTTCCTTTCTGTTTTTATCTCTTCTTATTTTATGTAAATAGCGTCAACAAGTAACCATCTGTAGTCACTATATTAACCCCTTACTGATAGCCAAGTGCGTTCAGATGTGGTAGTTGTTACAGGTGATTTCAATGTACAACAAGTGGGTAATCTAAGTCAAGCAGAAAGGCAATTAGGTAGCAATTTTGGAATTCCGCCCAGCTGAACGAATAGATATCACTGATCACTTACTACTGCTGTGCTCAGATAACCATTTATTTCCATCCAATATAAACTTCAGACACAAAGAAAGACATCGTTTGATGTTGTATCCATCGAGCTTAACTGTATTGCTGTCAGTCA